AAATATGATATTATAATCTTATGAGACCACCTTCACATATTAGTCTGGGGTCTATTAATGACTGAAACATAGTTATGCAGCACAGGATTGTATTTTATTAGTCATGTTAACTGTGTGGACTCTTCTATCATTATTCTAAAACTCAGAGACCACAAGGAATTCATAAAAACATGAGGTCAACCATTAGTAGCATTAAACAATTTAGTTTTGTTTTCTCCCTTTGTTCTATGAATTTTATATGAACCATTATATAAGCTAACTCTAGAACTTGTGATGTTTAAATTTTCATTTGAAATACTTACTTCCCATATGTATATATGTATGTGTATAGATGTATGTATAAAGAAAAACTCAACCAACATTCTTTTATTCTTTTTTTCCTTTTTGAATCTTATTTCCTCCTGACTACGTCAAATCCCTTTTTCATATGGTCCCAAAGTACTTGTATTTATATTTTGTGGCACACTTCACAATCAGATTTAAGCAATTAATGTTGTCATGGTTTTCAGAAATAATCATGTCTTCTTTGCGACGTTAACTTTCAAGGGCAAGAAGTTTATAACCTGGCATGATGCACATCTCCTAATGGTCACCAAGTAAATATTTGTTTAAAGGAAGGAGGAAAGAAAAAAGGACCAAAGTTTTAGTCAACCAGTCAAATTGCTAGCTTTAGTTTTAGTGTGTTTCTCTTTCTATTCACTGACAGCAGCAGCATGTTTAGTCCTGGTAATTGGGTGTTGATGTTAAGTTGATGTTTAAGGGCTAATAGATTATCATTGAACAATATCTCTACTTTAAAAGGCAAGTAGAAAATTAATTTCTCCTCCATTTCTGAGGTTTTGTTTTGCAGAGCCTTTTCAACTTAATCCTCAAATGGCCACAGAATTTTGCCCACTAATGTAAACCATCATGAGAGAATTCTGATTTATTAAAACGGGGTTGTAATTAGCAGAGTTTCTTTGTTTGTTTTAATGTTGAGTATCTGAATATGACTATTAAATTAACAGATGGTGATGTCAGAGACCAATACCCCCATTTATCATTGGAATCATTCATTCAACTTATGAACAATTCAGAGGCTAAATGCTGGAACTTTTGTGTTTTAGCATCAGTAACTCCTGAGATTGGGAAGGGCCTTCTTGTACCATAGGGACAACAGGCATCTCATTATAATCACAACTGATTGTGTGGCCAACTGAAAGTCAGGTATCTCTGTCACAAACATAATCTTAGTCTTTTGTCTCTTAATATGGTTCCATTTGGAACTGTTGCTTAACTCAATACATTGAAATATGAAGCCAACTCACTTTATCACGTATTTATTGAACATCTACCATTGTGATAGATATATTGCCAGGGTTCCAACAACAGAAAAATGAACACCAGATACATCATGTCTTTGACAAATTTACATTCTGGCAAAGCAAGAACATAAATCACTGAAATAAAAAGCAGAGTGAAGGAAAAGCTTAAGAGACATAAACTGACAGAGAAGTCAGATACAATATCTATTTGAATAAAATCAAGCAAGGCTTCATGGAGGAAGCACTACACTGAGATGAACACTGAAGGATGGGTAGGATAGAAACAGATGGAGATTGGAGATGAAGAGGGCATTCTATGCATGAAGATCTGCAGCTGGGAAAAATTGTGGGATGCATTTGCATAAGAACAGCAAGTAATTCCATTTGAATAGAGTATACATTACTTGTGATGGTATAATGGAAAATTAGTCTAGGAAGTAGTTTTGTCCATATTACATGTGTGAAGAGTATTGTGTAGGTAATAAAAGACTGAGTAGGTAAAAGTGGATTTGAGACCAGTTGTTGCCATTTGACTTGTCTTGATTCCAAGATACTTCCATCTATACTTCCATCTATACTATATGAAATTAGACATTAGAAATCCAAGTCTAGACCAATTTATGAAAATAACTAAGTTCCTGTTTGGTATAGTTTCTGCTTCTTTTGACTTTTCACCACAGCCCCTTCCTCTTCTCATTCTTCTCTAAGTTGAACTTCTTAGTTTAATCCAATTCCTAATGAGAAATCACTGATAATGACTTGGCAGTTGGGGTGGGAGAGATAATCATTCTCAGGAGCACTCTCATGTTATAAGGGGGAACTCTTAAAGCAAAGGCTGTAGGACTGTAAGGAATCACACTATAATGGCAGTATATGAGGCAGTAGGTAAATGCAGGCATACCTCAGAGATACTGTGGGTTCAGTTCCAGACCATTGCAATAAAGTGAGTCACATTTTTTTTTTTTTTGGTTTCTCAGTGCATATAAAAGTTATGTTTACACTATATTGTAGTCTATAATAGCATTAAGTTTTAAAAATGTATGTAAGTTAGAAATATTTTGTGGCTAAAAAACAAAAATGATAATCTAAACTGTCAGTGAGTCATAATCTTTTTGCTAATGAAGGGTCTTGTCTCAATGTTGACAGCTGCTGACTGATGAGGGTGGTGGTTGCTGAAGGGTGAGGTGGCTGTGGAAATTTCTTAAAATAAGACACCGAAAAAGTTTGCTGCATCCAATGACTTTTACTTTCATGAAAGATTTCTCTGTAGCATGCAATGCTGTTTGATAGCATTTTACCCACAAGAGAACTTCTTTCAAACTGGAAATCAATCCTCTTCAACTCTGCAGCTCTTTTATTGTCAGTTTATAGAATATTCTAAATCATTTGTTGTCATTTCAACAATGTTCACAGCATCTTCACTAGTGGTAGTTCCATCTCAAGAAACCATTCTCTTTGCTCATCCATAAGAAGCAACCTCTGATTTGTTCAAGTTTCATGATGAGGTTGCAGCAATTCATTAACATCTTTGGGCTCAACTTCCAATCTAGTTATCTAGCTATTTCTACCATATTTGTGGTTACTTCCTCCACTGAAGTCTTGAACCCCTCAAAATTATTCATGAACGTTGGAAGCAACTTCCTTCAAACTCCTATTAATGTTGGTATTTTGACTTCCTCCCATGAATCATTAATGTTCTTAGTTGCATCTAGAATGGGGAATTCTTTTCAGAAGGATCAATTTACATTGCCCAGATCCATCAGAGGAATCACTATGGCAGCTACCACCTTATGGAAATATGTTTCTCAGAGTTGAAATTATTCCTTGATCCATGGGCTGCAGAATGAATGTTGTGTTCACAGGCATGAAAACAACATTAATATCCTTGTACAACTCCATCACAGCTCTTGGGTGAATAGGTAGGTGCATTATCCATAAGCAGTAATATTTAGAAAGGAACCTTTATTTCGAGCAGTAAGTCTCAACAGTGGGCTTAAAATATTCAGTAAACCATGCTGTAAGCAGATGTGCTGTTATCCTGGTTTCATTTTCCCATTTATAGAGCACAGAATAGATTTAGTATAATTCTTAAGGGCCCTAGGATTTTCAGAATGGTGAATGAACATTGGCTTCAACTTCAGGTCACCAGCTGCATTATCCCCAAACAAGAGTCAGCCTGTTCTTTGAAGCTTTGAAGTCAGACATTAACTTCTCTCTAGGTATAAAAGCCTTAGTTAGAATGGCATCTTCTTTCAAGATAAAGCTGTTTCATCTACATTAAAAATCTTTTTTTTTTCTGTAGCCAACTTCATCAATTTTCTTAGCTGTAACTTCTGGATAACTTGCTGCAGCTTCTACATCAGCACTTGATGTTTCAGTTTGCTCTTTTATGTTATGGAGAATGGCTTTTTTCTTTAAACCTCATGAACCAACCTCTGCTAGCGTCCAACTTTTCTACTGCATCTTTCTCAGCTCTCTCTTTCTTCATAGAATTGAAGAGAGTTAGGGCCTTGCTGTGAATTAGGCTTTGGCTTAAGGGAATGTTGTGACTGGTTTGATCTTCTATCCAGACCACTCAAACTTTCTTTGTATCAGCAATAAAGGTGTTTTGTTTTCTTACAATAATTTATGTGTTCACTAGAGTAGAACTTTTAAATTCCTTTAAGAGCTTTTCCTTTGTATTCAAAACTTGGCTAACAGCTACAAGAGGCATAGCTTTAAGCCTGTCTGAGTTTTTTTACATACTCACTAAGCTTAATCCTTTCTAGCTTTTGATTTAAAGTGAGAGACTTGCCACTCTTCCTTTCACTTACACTTAGAGGCCATTGTAGGGTTCTTAACTGGCCTAATTTTAATATTGTTTTGTCTCAGGGAATAGGGAGGCCCATGGAGAGGGACCAAGATGGGGAATGGCTGGTGGGTGGAACAGTCAGAACAACACAATATTTATTAAGCTCTCCATCTTCTATGGAAGCAGTTCATAGGTTTCCCAAAACAATTACAATAGTAATATCAAAGATCACTGACCACGGGTCACCATAAGCGCATAGAATAATAATCAAGTTTATTATTAGAATTATGAAAATTGACACAGAGACATGAAGTGAGCACATGCTTTTGAGAAGAAAGGTGCCAGAGCGTTGCCACAAACTTTCAATTTTTTAAAAAGTGCAATATTTGAGAAGCATAATAAAATTAAGCATAATAAAACAAGGTACGCCTGTAGACTGCTGCCAAGGGACACTGATATGGGCTTCTCACATCACATAAAGTAGAACAGTATGTACACGTCTTCCTTCTGTGGCTTACAGTGGCCATTGGTAGCAGGAGTGACAGTCTGACTTGGAATGTAGATGACTCAGGACAAACCAATTCCAATATTGGAAATTAATCAAGGTATACGTGCCATGCTTTTCCAGTCATGTTCTTGGCATGAACTAGTGAGGGGCACGAGGCAGTTAGAATAATGAAAAGAGAACTAAAAATCAGGCAGTTCTGGGTTTTGAACCCAGATCTAACTCTGAGTTTTCACATTTATTTAAAAAAACACACACACACACACACACACAAACTAGCAATTGTTACATGAGTTGTAGGAGCCATTCTACTTCTCTAATATCATATAAGAAGGCATACATTATGGGATGTTCCTCTCTGAAGTTCTGAGGCATAGAGGAAAGTCAGCTCTGAAAGAATTCAGGTTTTGTGAAAGTGGTAGCTTTGATAGTTTCTTCATGACATCTGTTCACTAGAGAGGGCTGTTGAGAGGTGAGAGTTGTGCATGGATGACTGACATGGGAACTGGGGACCTATATCTTCGGTTAGCTCCACAAAGTGGCATTGTGTCAGGAAGATGTTCCGCTGGGCAGGTGGCACCTGTGGGTCACGCTGGGAGTGCCACTGTTTGTGGAAAGAAGAGATCACATTCTGGAATGCTGCCTGGAAGCGGCGAGACAGTAGGTTATAGATAATGGGGTTGACAGCTGAGCTCAGGTAGAATAAGACACCTGGAATGCAGGAGATTTAAAAAGATGTGCTGAGAAGAACCTGAGTGACAGGCATGAAGGGAGAAGCATACATATTTACAAAGGCCTAAAATCCCTGTGATTGCCTCTTTTGGAAGTGATAATACATACAAGCCTCTAATTGAGAATACAAAATACTCTTAATAGATCTTCCACCTGTGCACTAAGCAATCAAACACAAAGATTAAAGAGTCTTGGAGTAATTTAGGCTGGCATGGGATCTCTCTGAGATGTTCAGCAACTTTCTTTGATCCCTACTTGTTTAATTAAAGAACATGTTTCCATAACACGAATGAAAGATGCTTAAATATCAGAGGGAAGAGAAATGTTTGTATCTCATTGGAATTTTACTTAAATCTATAATTTGGAATTGCAAGTAGTGGAAGAAGGTAAATCAGCCAAGGCTTAGTCCCTGCTGAGACTCCTTATAATGCTAAGATATGGCTTCAAAGAAATATTCCTTAGTGTGCTGTTCCTACCTACCCTTTTCCCTTGATGGTTCCTCTACCTTTTGAAGATTTGTATTTTACCATTTATTTCCTCTACCAATTACCCTTCATGTTGTCATTTTCCTGTTTGGAATACACTCTTCCTTTATTGCTTTTTAAAATTTTATTTCTCTAAAGCCCAGAATGAGCTCAAGTTTGGGAATCAGAGGACCTAGTTTCTGATCTTGGCCCTCACATATCCTGTGGCCTTAGACAAACTCTGGCACTTCAGTTTCTTTCTCTGTAAAATGGGAATTCAATTTCCAGCTCAACTCACCTCTCTGGATTATTGTGAGGGTAAAGTTAAGATACCATCCACAAAGAGGCTGAGAATGGCTAAGAATGTAAAACAAGTGATGGGTACTATTGCCAACAGGTTCCTTGTTGTCCTTATTTATGTGGTTCAGGACATTCAGAGTGCTATATGCCTTGTTTATAGAATAAACATGGAAGAATATTAAAGGAGAACATTTCCATGTACTAATACTATTAGTTCATCCAGAAAATAAATATTGATTTAAATCTTATGTGCCACGAACTTCAAGGCACATTGGGAGATAGTGAATTTAGACTTTGTTCTCCAAGATCTTGGAATGGTACTACAGAGACAAGATTTATGGCTAAATTAAATAATTAACAATACAACAATACCAAGCAGTATCTGTTAAGAACAAATATGAGATAACAAATCATGCTATAGCAATTCACATAATAGCAGAAACACAAGGACTGTGGTGGTCATAAAAGATTTAGTGGGGGGTGATTGAACCCTAGCCAGACCTCAAAATGGGTAAGAGATCTTTAAGGAAGATAGGAGAGGGTGATGCAGGTTCAGGGCATAGCACGCACAAATATTCAGAGGCAGGAATGGCCACATGGTGCAGGAATAATGTGCAGAACTCTCTAATTACCAGTTTGATAAGTAGATGGTCTATGAATAAAAATAGTAAAAGTTGGAGGATTAAAAGGCAAGTTGGGGGCATTTTCTGTAGGGTTTAAGAGATTTAGACATAATCTAGTGTGCTAATATAAAAAAGGGGGAGATGGTATCTGAACAGGATCATGTCATTATTAAAGCTATAACTTGAAAATCTTAAGATAATTGCCCTGATGCATCCAGAGATACGTAGTTAACTAGTCAAGTCTCATTTGACCTTGTAGTGCTTTCTCATTTATTTAAATGTTTCTTTTTTCTGCAGATTAACCAAAAGGATAAACTGAGAGGTATACATATTTTTGAGCTTTGGCTGCAAATGGTTGAACAGGAAAGTGCTAATGTCCAAGAATAAGCTATACATTAGGCCTGCTGAGTACAAAAAAGAGGGTGACAGAAAATAGATAATATACATGATATTCAGTATAGATGTCATTGTTTCTGCTTTGTGCACATCTGGAGCTTAATTTATAAAATCTGACTTTATCTTTCCTTTCCAGTGATATCTTTGATAATCTAATGAGACCACAGAATCAGCCAGTGACCAGGAGAGGTGGGAGGACAGAAGAGGTCTGAGCCTAAGGCTAACACTGAGTTAGCTGTCCCTGACTGAGAAAGAAGAAACTGGGTGGCCATTCTCTGCTCCATTTTAGTAGAAAGAACACTGAACTTGAAGTTAGGTGACTTGGGTGTATTATTTGTTAGCTAAGTGCCTTAGGGCAAATCATTTCTTCTTGTGGAAGTGTTTTACTTTTGACTATACGATGTTAATCATAATACCCACCTAATGACCTTTTGATGATTATAGAAAGATATACAGCAGTTACAGCTTAAAGAGCTCCTTAATGTCTATTACTGCATTTGCTTCTTCCCATCAGTCCATGGTTTGTCTACAGGAGGCATTATTGCCATTTTACAGTTGAGGAAACTTTGGTGTGAAGGCAGCCATGTTCTGCAGATCACTCAGAATAGCAATGGTGAAATTGGGGTACAAATCCAGGTCAACTGACTTACTGACCTTTCCACCATGCTTTCCACAATATACTATAGTATCCTCAAGAAGCAGAGTCACAGCAGTCTAAAAGGAGAACTTGGTGACCTATGAATACCTTTTGGTTTTCCTTCATGAGGATATAATACTTACCAAAGGCAATATGAGATTTCAGGAACATGGATGTTTACCAAATAAGAACCAACTTAATTGCATGGCCATTTGGAGGATAATCAAAGGAATCACTCGACCATTTTCCTTCTGTAATCATCACAGTTGGAGTTGAGGTTTTCCATAAAGTAGCCTTGAAAATAGTGATCTGGTATATATGTATTTGGACCAGTACCAAACATAATCAATCTTTTGAATAAAAGAAAAATCGAATGTCTTCATTGTAGCATGGCAGATCCCTGTGATAAATTGGAGTACTTAGGCATTTAAGCAAGATGAAGAAGTTGCTATTACCTGAATACTAGTCATGCACCAAATTCAGCTAAGGTTTTACCTGACACCACATGGACGAGGTTGAACACAGCAGCCAGGGATTCAGTCCACTCCTCCACAAAGCTGAAGAAGAGTCGGTCAATGTGGAATGGGGCCCAACAGATAGCAAACACTAAGACCAAGATAACTGAAAATGGATGATAAATGGGAGAGCAGAAGGCAATCTGTGCAAGGATAGGTATACAATGCTCACTCTGAGTCAATCATTTCTTCTAGCAGTTTTTCCCTTCAACTTTGTTAAACTGTAACAGTTACAGAGGCAAACTAGATCCCAAAGAGCCTCAGTACAAAACATTTAAAACACAAGAATGAATTGTATAAGATCTAGGATCAGTTTTCCATAAGATTATACAAGATTTCTTGTATAATGTAAAACTTTTTAGAACATTTAAAATAGTACTTAATTTATTTCAAAGTCCTGAAAACATCTTATTGTAAAAGATAAATAATAAACTGTTAAATGTATTTATAAATTCATCTTGTTATTATAGGAATAATTAGAAATTTTTCTGAATTCAATAATTTAAAATTCTGTAATGGTTAGGCAAGGAGAAAGAAGAGATCAAACAACCACAAGCATAATAGTACTTTACAAGTATCTTTTGATTGGAAGGGTTGTGTCTGTCATATTATAAATTGCTACACCACAGAATTCCTTCCAATCTTTTATTTTCACCTACCAAAACAGAGACTAGTGTTACTGTAGTTTCTCTTTGGGGCATTTAAGTACCACAAATTTAAAAACACACACACACAAGCTTTTTCTTTTTCCTTTTAAAGTTGTAAATACTTTCCTTTGCTAGACATGATGCTTGGGATTTGCCTAAAGATAATCTTTTGGGGCTGGGGGAAAGATAAGGGTATACATGAAACAAGATTAGCTATGAGGTGATACTTTCTGAAACTGGGTGATGGGTACGTGGGTATTCACTTTACAGTTTTCTGTACTTGTGTACAGATATGAAGTTTTCATAGTAAATAGTATTATACATACATTTCCTGTTGGCATTAAACACATTCAGAGTAAGCTGTTTGCCTGTGTGGTATGGTTTCAAAGATATCTGTAGGTTTCTACTGAATTTGCTAACCCAAGAAAAGTCCCTAATCTGTTCACTACTGCCTACAATTCCCTTTAATTAAAACTTTAATTCCTGACAGGCACGGTGGCTCAGGCCTATAATCCCAGCACTTTGGGTGGCCAAGGGGTGGATCACCTGAGGTCAGGAGTTCAAGAACAGCCTGGCCAACATGGTGAAACCCTGTTTCTACTAAAAATACAGAAATCAGCCAGGTGTGATTGCACACGCCTGTAATCCCAGCTACTCCAGAGGCTGAGGCAGGAGAATTGCTTGAACCTGGGAGGCAGAGGTTACAGTGAGCTGAGATGCCACTGTACTCCAGCCTGGACAATAGGGAAAGACTCCATCTCAAAAACAACAACAACAACAACAACAAACAACTTTAATTCCTGTTAAAGTTGAACCCCATACCAAGGCAAATACTTTATAGCATATTCTGTTATTGTGACTTTAATATGAGTGAGCTTCATGTTTTTTTTTTTTTTTTTTTTTTTTTTTTGTGAGAGTAGATTATGACCAAGGAGAAAAGGGTAGGGATAATGAAGAAACTATGTTTCTTAATAGAGAAAGTCAAGTGCCAGGAGGGGCTAAAATATTTCCAAGAAATAACTCTTACAATAGAGAAGACCCACTTCAGGGACTTCACAGTTCATTTTTTGTTCAGAAATGCTGTATAGTTACAGTGAATGTTTCATATGCAGATTAGCCTGGATGATTCATTGCCTCTAAACTTTAGATTTTGATTTGAAAAATATATTATAAATCTCCTTTCCCTCATCAGTAACTCTCATACAGTAGTACTGCATCATATATTTTTATAGCATTCTTTTGGGAGACTGTGGCTCAGTAAGTGAATTTTTAAAAAGATCTTATTTATTCAAAAGTATACTGTTTGAAACAAAGTTATACAATGTCATATGTGAAATGGCTACTTGGAGAAGCTTGCCAGATGTTCTTAATCTGGAACTAAAAGATCCCATGGAGTCTATGAGTATCAGGGTTTGGTTCATGACCTCCTGAAATGGATTGTAAAATTTTTTGTGTATGCATATTTGTTCATTTTTTTTTTTTTTTTTTTGGAATGGAGAGTCTACAGCTTTCATCATATTTTAGAAGAAATCCATAATACAAATAGGTTAAAATCTTGTTCATTTCACAGAGGGGGAAAGTGAGGCTCAAAGGCTGAGAAAGTGAATGTAATTTACAAAACACCACACAGATTGTATGTCAGTGGATAAAAGTGAGCGTGTTGTTTTGAGGGTTCAAAACCGAAAATGAAACAAAACAGACAGGTCCTAGAAGCTTGAAGAAGCAAAGGAAGACAGATCACCTAGCATTGATATAGACCATTAAGGAGGTGTCTTCATTATATATATATCTCCCCTTTGCTCCTTGATCTTAATCTATTCTCATAAATACTGTTTCAGGGTAAATTGGAACCTACCCCCAGCAGCATTTAGTTAGTACCAAATGTAACTCCTTTGCTCTTGTGAACAAAACAAAACAAAAAACAAAATGGGGCACTTACACAGCATCTTGTTGACTGATTTTCTGCAGGGTCTTTGAATATTTGCATTCCCTTCATCTGCCTCAAGTGATTTGTCTTTCTTTAGCTAAAAGGGAAGTAAGTTGGGAGAGATGGTAAGAAAGAGAAATATTTTTCTCTCCTGTTAAAATCTGAGAAATATAACTCAAACACTCATTTTGAACACAGAAGAACTGGGACCTAGAGAAATGTAAGAATATGTCAAACGTTTAACAGTACGTTGAAGGTGGAATTGGATTCAGGTCATCTACTCAACTGGATAAATGATTGTGGCCAAGTAGTAGCGCAATCATGTTTCATATACAGTTATGTGGAGCGTTGGCTGTGTAGCATGTTAATAGGTGTTCCATGAAAAATGTAAAATTCTGAAGTTCAAGAAAAGTTAGACTGGCTTCTCAATCTATTCATTCACTCATTCATAATTATTCGACATCTCTTAAAGTGAAATCCCTCTGCTATGTGCTGGATAAGTAGTAGAAAATGAAAACAGGAATTCTTCTCGCCTCCAATATTTACTGTGGATCTTCTCAGAAACTTCAATATGCTGATGGGCATTATGAATTTTCAAGGGGAACAGTGTATCAACTTTCCACTTAGCCCCCCGTCTACCTTCCACACTCACATCGCCTACTCACATCTTAGCCAAAAGGAAGATAGTGTTTCTTTGACTAAACAATATTTTCCCCAACCGTTTTCAGTGGATTACCTTGTACCATTTTGACAAACACAAACTGGGAAATGTTGTTTTAATATTACAGTAATATTAATTACTGAAAAGAGTGTATGTGTTTCTGAGTTAAGATGTTTAAAATGTATTCATCCTTGTTGGAAGATATGGAGATCCTTGATGTAACATTTGAAACTTATAGCTATCAACACTACTTGTAGGCACAGTCTTCTTTGCTCAGTTCAAGTCCTGCCTGTTCCCAAAAGATTTTGATGGCCACTTTAGCCCACTGTCGTCTTCTTCCTTTGAACTCCCACAGCACTGAAGATCTACATCATTCATCCAGTTGTGGAAGTTTTTCTCTTTATTCTACACATTTTTTAATTTGTGGGGATGTTGGCCAAATAAAGGAAGCTTTAAGGACTCATCTTAAAATACCATCAAATATCCAGAAGTTAGTATATTACATAGTGAATATATATTTGCCCATTGGTTCTCTAGCATTTGCTTCTCTCTTCTCTTACTAATAGTACCCTAATTTTTCCTTAGGGAATGTACTCCTTCCCCATTCTTAATCTTTAATTTGGATAGAGGTGTCACTCAACTTCAGCTCCAAGTATACTCCCTAAACAATTTAACCAATCAGCTTGTCCTATCCTCCAGTCACAATGATTGAATAATGGGGACCAATGAGATTTCAGATATTTGCTTATACTTCTGAAGATACAAGTTTTTATTTATTTTTTATTGGGACTGCCAGAGGGAGTCCTTCTCTGCATATGAGGTCTGGAATTACAAAAGTTATTTTTTTTCTTCCACAAAGAAAAAGTGCTTGGAACCACCAAAAGATGACTGTGTGCAGTTTGAGGTTGAAACCAACACCACGGACAAAAAAAGCAAAGAAACAGAAATAAAGCTAGGTTTATAATGAGAGTCTGTGTTTTATTTAATTAATCTTCACCAAGAGCTAGCTCTGCTTCTGAATTTCATGTCTATGCTCCCTTTGGGATTTACCCAGGGTTGGAGTCTCTCATTGGCAATGTAAAAAGTCCAGGCTAATTGATTGAAGCCATCAGGTGGAACGAAAATTTAACTTATTTTATACAGTCATGGCAGTAGATTAGAATCAATCTGTTTAGTTACAGGTAGATAGATTCTAATTCAAGGTAAGAAATAAATATTGATTATGTGCAATAATGGAACAAACTGCTATAAGAAGCAATAATCTTCCTGGGTTGGATAGCATTTTGAAGGAATATTTCAGAAAAGGTATTTGAAATTAAATAGACTTGGAAGAGTGGGTTATTAAAAGTTGCCTCTAAACTTCAGCAAATCCATATCCGGTCTTCCTAACAAACATATATGCTCCTTGCAGTTAGGTAGCACTCAGGACCACATAGGATCTCAAGAATCCTCTTGGATAATGTATAAACCTGGCCATTTGTCTCTTGACTATATCGGAGTGTTCTACATGTATCTGTGTCTTCATAAAGTAAAGGATTAAAGACTCTGTGATCTTAGGACTAGAGAGGAAAAATATGCAGGTGAAAAGTATTATTAATGCAATAGTAAAACAAAGTCATACAGGTAGAGTGCTTATCTCAGTGCCTGGCACATGATACTCAGCAAGTTGTATATTACTGCTATTACGGTGATTCTGATTATTATCCAGAGCATACTAAACAGACATCAGAAAAACTGATTTTTTAAAAATAGAGTTGTTTGTTTATATATGTGAGGTTACTTTTATGGAGTACTGAGTCCCTTTTAGAAATTCTTTTCTTATTGTAACCACTCGCTCACAGGGAGTGCCTGTACAGATACAAAGAAGGCAGATATACGGAGAAGAAAAACACATTCAAGGTTAGAGCAATGCATCAAACTTCAAACTTTACTAACTCATCTTAGATTAAATCTATTAAAGGTTCTAATTATTTCATGCCATTTAAAAAGATTGTGGTTTTTACAAGATGAAGTTATTCTATTATTTTATTTCAGTCCATAATTAACAACAATAAAAAATATTGAGATATATTAGTCACTTCCTGCTTTGTGTTTAACAATTCTCAATGGTAATTTCTCCACCCCAAGGAACAATTTTTAAAAAATCAAACATCAAACAAATAGTTCACACAATGTTTTTATGAACAGGCTTCCTGTAGCAGCATAGTTTACACTAAAAAGAAAATCATGTGCTGATGAATTGTTGCTTATCTTGCAGCTTCCTTAGTTTATAGTGACACAACTAGCCAACCAGAGGAAGAGTGAAAAATTGATTACTTACGTATAGTATACATTGTTCCAACAGAATCTGGAGTGGTTGGCAGAATAGAATGCAATCAAAACAGTTAGTCTAGACAATATTAAATGCTGCTTTATCATTGAATAATTTCACTTCCCTATAGATGTTTAGTAAAGTAGATACTCAACCATTCATTATCCTTCCCCACCCCAAAACTTTTATTTTACAACTCAGGTTACAAAAGGAGGAGTGAAAAATTGTGATTACTATTACAAATATTGTGATTATTAAAAGTTGTGATTACTATTACTAAATAGTGTGATTACTAAAAATCGTGATTACTTTCTTTAGCTACATAAGAGCAAAGTGAAAGGGAGGTTCGTGAGGTTATTATTCAGGTTGATACATTATGCTGATCAGTTGTTTATACTGCTTGAAATCACTCCACCAGATGTTCATTTATATAGTTTGTGGGACTTAGTTTCAGAATACAAATATTATAATATAGGTTTTGTGTAAATATCTCTATATTCTTAACACAATCTATTTATTAAAAAAAAAATCATTGCAACCCTGTGTTGGCATGGTTGAATTCTGCTGCAATTCATACATCCATCCTCATTAACTCAATCATGAATGCAGCATGCAGGAGATGTAAGAACTAAATCAGACTGTCACCAGAACTTCCTCCCAAATGTGGAGGAACTTGCCCTAGAATTGTCTATTTTCTACCTCTATAATGTTCAAACCCTGGAGAGCAGCTCAGTGGTAGCTCTGTACTGGAATGATGCAGCGTGACTGAATGCTGAGCTATGAGCACAGATACGGGTTTCCTCCTTCTTCCCTGGTCCTGTGATTTCATTAGTCTTAGACTTGCTGCCTTCTGAAAGCAGTGGGTCCCAGAGTCAATCACACCTTCAAACTTTCCAACAGAGTCAATTACTTAACAATCATTAGGATTGCTTATGTCTCTTTGAGATAATATTTCCAAGTCTTTGTTTTAAAGGTAGAGAAGCTAAAGCCCAACAATGAAGGAAGTAATTTAGCCTCATTTATTCACTGAGCTTACAGTCTAGTTGGGAAGAAAAAAATTAATTGAGGAATCCATAAGTATGGATTGTAAATTGTAATGAAGGAAAATCACTGAGAGCCGTGAGCACCTACAACAGGAAACAGGAATGCTCAGGAAATCTGGGAGAGCTTTCCTGAGGAAGTGTGATTGAAGTATGACATAAAGAATAAATGAGGGTTAGAAAGGCAAAAGGGTAGTGGTGGCAGACAGTAGGAACACTTCAGGCTACAGGTATATTGTACATAAAGGTCCTCAGGTCAGTGACAGAGAATAGGGTCTACTTTTCCTGAGTTTCAGTATAGAGATTTTTAAATTCTTCTAGGAGTGACTTTGTAAGCAGTTAGTTTCTTTCCTGGTGTCCTCTGGTACCTGGATAACAGCTCATCCTTCCTGAAAACAGGCTATCAAAAGTTGCATTACATACCCAAAGCAAACCAGGGTGGTTTTTAAACTTCTGTTTGAGCTATCACTTAGCTCATGATACAAGGTAGCCATGGACTTTTGATAATAAAACACAATGAAACTGATTGTAACAGATTGGAAGAGGAAATGTGCATTTCCTACTCAAAGTTAAGTATTTTTCCCAAATTGACCCAAAATAGGTGATTCTTTGGCATTGGATGAGATAATACTAAGTTCTGGGGGGGGGGGGGGTATTTCTCATAGGACTTTCTTTGGAGTTGTATAGAAGTCTTTTCGCTTCAGTGAGATTTGCAGGACATTCTTAAGACATGGTTGTGAGCTAGTGCGGGGTGGTACATGTCTCTGGGAATATAGGTGCTAGCCCTCCAGGAGGGGACTGGCACAGCTCTCTGCCTAAGTAGATTTACTCTTGTGCCCAGCTGTCTGTGACACTTAGAATTTGTTCTTCCTACTTAGACCTTGCTATTCATCTTAGGGACAATAGGTATTCAAAAGGACTACCATTGGTCACTTGCTTCTGACAATCAGCTTCTCAGAGATGGACTGAAATAGGAGTATATTCGTTGTCACGTAACATATGATGTCAGAGACATCTCAAAGCAAATAATGTGAGTGTGATGTCTGCTTGTCCTCTCATTTAAAACTCACATTGCTTCAGCTCACAGGTTGTTTCTTGTTTTTTGTTTTTTCTTTTTTAAAAGGAATCATAGACTGTTAGAACTAGAGGGTACATAGATATGATCTGATGTAACCTTTTCATTTTATAAATGGGAAAACTAATTCCAGGAGAATTATGTGGCTTGCCTAAAGGCATTTTATGTATCTGCTGTAGATCTGGGAGTCTAAATGGTCTCATAACTGTTTACTACACAAGCTATAATACCTCCCTTAAGTGGATGTAAAATTGTCATTGTCAAGAACTTTTCTCTTCATGAATTTGGGTGCAGAATATACCAGAGAGGAATTACATAGACTCATTCCTACCCTTATTAAAAATAGTTTCTCTCAGTTAATTTATTACACTCCCTTCTGAAAAAGAAATCAGTTTATCACCATAAACATAGGAAAAGAACCTCTAGTTATGTATGTTGCAAAATAAGTGATATCTTTTTCTTAATTTCAGATAGCTCTTACTCACATTTTTTTACTCTATCTCATGCACTGTTTACTTCATTATCTCTCAATCTACACCTGCTCAAAAGAAGCTCAAGTTATCTCAGTCGTGTCATTAATATATATGACTATATATAATATATAACTATGTATAAATAAATAAATATATAGTTTTATTTTGTTTTGCTCCAACCTCATTTTAATGAAAGGGTCAGAGCAACCACAGGAACGGTCTGATTTTAAAACTGAATACCTATCTGGGACTATAAAATAGTCAGGGATAGTTGATAGTTTGTGTTATACTCAGACCAACTCGGTGTAGAGGAAAATCTCAATGCAGGCAGTGGCCGGGGGCTGGAAAGTGACAACAGGATGCGGAGGAGTCTCTCAAGCTGTGGCCACCTCACCCCAGATCGCCTGATGTGCTTTTTTACAATGAGTCTCCACCTCAGACCTACTGAATCCCATTTTCCTGGGGGTGAGGTATCCATATTGCTACCCAAAGTAAGTTTTCTGGATGTTTCTTAGGAACATTTAGATATGAGAACCCATATCTCATTTAGATATGAGAAGACGAGCTAAAGGAAATGATAAATAGTGGTGGTTACCATTCATCTCATTTGAGGCAATTTCTTTAATGTCTTGATTTCCCATCTGAGCTCATTCTATTTTCCCTCTGTTCCCTTCCATTTCTGAATTTCCCCAATTCTAAGTTTTTCTCTGAACTTTGAGCCTGTGAAAACAGAAGGGATGCTGCCTTAAGCCAGCCAGCCTAGATACTCACTCTGAGTGCCATGAGGTAGTAGAGGACACTGATGACAGTCATGGGGAGGAAGTAGAATAGGAAGGAGGTGACCTGGATGATGAAATTGTAGATCCACATGGGCTTGATGACCGTACAGGTGGCCGAACCTGGGACCAGGGACCCATTGGGGAAGTAGTGGAACTTGATGCCGTGGATGCTGGTGTTGGGCAGGGAGAAGAGCACGGAGAAGCCCCAGACGACGCCGAGGATCCTGAGAGCCCGACGCCGGGTGCTCTCCAACTTGGCGCGGAACGGGTGTAGGATGGCCACGTAGCGCTCCACGCTGATGGCGGTGATGCTGAGGATGGAGGCGAAGCACACGGTCTCAAAGAGGGCCGTCTTGAAGTAGCATCCCACAGGCCCGAACAAGAAGGGGTAGCTGCGCCACATCTCATAGACCTCCAGGGGCATTCCAAGGAGCAGGACCAGGAGGTCAGAGACCGCCAGGCTGAAGAGGTAGTAGTTGGTGGGCGTCTTCATAGCCTGGTGCTGCAGAATCACCAGGCACACCAGGACATTGCCAATGACCCCCACCACAAAAATTGGCACATACACCACAGACACGGGGAGGAAGAAATGGCTGCGCCGAGGTCCGCAGAGGAAGGCCAGATACTCCTCGGTGCTGTTCAGGTGTTTCTGGAATGGATCTTCCAGTTTCTGCTGGTAGATCCAGGAAGCATTCTGAAGTTTTTCCATCCCTGATATTAAAATCCAAGGCCTGAGCCTCCCCTGGTACGAGGCTCTGTTTCAAGCTGAGCCAGGAAAAAAAAAAAAAAAAAAAAAAAAAAAGAGAGAGAGAGAAAGCAGTCAGGAAAATCACAGGTTTACTGAGGAAGCCTGAGAGAGATGAGTGTTTCAGCCTCAAAGTTAGGCTGCCTGGACCGCCGATCCCTTTTGAAGAGTCCCAGAGAGACAAGCCCCTCCCCTCCACAGGCTGAGGGCCAATGAGAGTGTGTCAGGCTGCACCGGAAGAGAGGAGTGCTGGCTTTGTGTCAGGGAACAGGGGAGGAGGCGGAGACCTCTCTCTGAGTGGGAAGGAGCTGGGAAGGCAGAGCTGACACAGAAGAAACCACTCTGACTTCATGGATGGGCATTTTGAGCAATGCATGTTGCAAAGTTGTGAGAATCTGGGCGGACATAGAAATCAAAGTTGCAGGGTCGTGGGCAAAAGAATACCAGTCTCCACCAATCCTTGTCAGCCGTACAGCAGGATGAACATAGGAAATCAATAGATTTCTCAAGTTATCTTGTTCCACTGGAAATTCAGGGTTCTCTGGGGATTAATGTGATAACATGATTAACGAGAGTTTTTGGGTTTGACTGCATCCAAAACCAAAGCCTGAAAGGGCACGTGCACAGTGCCTAGCTCTGACTGCTACCTGACACTTCAGTCTCTTAGGAGAGCTTTGCTATAAGCAAAAGGCAAACAGACTTCAGAATTAGGAACACTCACAGAAATTTAGGAAAGTTGGGACAGTTACCCAAACTCTTAGAGGCTCATTTCCTTATCTGCATCATTAATTCGATTGTGTTCCACAAATAACTTCTTGAGGATTCACTATTTGCCAGGGAATGTTCTAAACTTTGTAGAAACATCAGTGTACAAGCAAGAGAAGGTCTCTGCCCTAGTGGAGCTTTTCTTACAGTAGGGAATTCTGAAAACACACAAGTAAATGAATAAATTAATAATATATCTTCAGATAGTAATTGATAATTATTTATCAAGGATGGTGAAAGAAAACTTATCTCAGATGTCACTTTAGCTGAGTCAGTCATGAAAGAGCTAAGGGAAGTGTATTACTCAGCAAAAGCAATTGCAAGTGCAAAGGTCCTGAGGCAGAAACAAACTTGATATGTTTTAAAAATATCAGGAAGACCAGAATAACTGGAATTTAATAAGTGGTCAGCAAAGTATGAATGATTAGATTGAAGTGGCTGGCAGGTGCAAGTTCATGTAAACTCTTATAGGCCATGGAAGAGAGTTTGCCTCTGATTCAAACTGCAGGGAGAAGTCTTTAAAATATTTTGCACTGGAGAATTAACGAGGGAGAAATTTTAACAGAAGGTAAGAGGCTAGTCCTAAGACATAGTAGTGGCTTGGATTCTTTGAGTAGTGGAGTTGAGAGATTTCTTCGGATTTAGGAATATTTTTGCAGGGGACAATACCTTTTATAGTCATTGAGAAGACTAAATTATATATAATGAAGCAACTTATACTTAAGAGATATTCACTAAATGTTAATTTTTTTCCCTTTTATTTGTTAAATCAGATGATGACATTAAAAATTAGAGAGGAAAAGTGACTTCTCGAAGAATAAGCTGTCCCTCAAGTTAAGATAGTTTATGCTTCTGTAACAAATGATTGACATATCTTGGTTTAAATAATAAAGATTTATTTCTCTTGCACTTCAAATGTATTGAGGGTCTGTCTCATGCTATACTCACTCATAAACCCAGGCTGATGCAGTGGTCACTCTGTGGAATTTTGATTATCATTGTGACAGAGGAAAAGAGAGCTCTAGAGGGTCTTAAGTAGGTAATTATAGGCTCTAGCCCAAAAGTAAGTAACTCATTGCCACTTTTACTCACAGCTCATTGACCAAAGTTAGTCATATGTACCCATTCCACCACAGCAGGGTCAGGAAGTGCTGTCTTAGCATGTGCACAGAAGATGGAAAACTAGGAAAAATTGGTGATTAACATTAATAGTAATTATAGACATGTAATAGGTATTGCAGAGCCAGAATTAGAGCCCTCTAGTTAAAGGCAAGTTTTGAAGTTAAAATCACTATTAACACACTTTAACACATTTTTTCTAATGAAATAGGAAAAGTTTAATGAAAATATCTCATTTAGATGTAAGGATAATTAAATTTATAAGGGTGCACAGTGGCAGACTATAAACTTAGCACTGAGGAAAACGGAAAATACTTCTTTCTGTTTTTTAACAAAAATATTTTTCCGTAAGTTATTGGAGTACAGGTGGTATTTGGTTACAGGAGTAAGTTCTTTACTAGAGATTTGTGAGAACCTGGTGCACCCATCACCCGAGCAGTATACACTGCACCATATTTGTTGTCTTTTATCCCTCACCCACCTCCCACTCTTCCCCTAAAGTCCCTTCATTGTATCATTCTTATGCCTTTGCATCCTCATACCTTAGCTCCCACATATCAGTTAGAACGTATGATGTTTGGTTGTCCATTCCTGAGTTACTTCACTTAGAATAATAGTCTCTAATCTCACCCAGGTCACTGTAAATGCTGTTAATTCATTCCTTTTTATGGCTGTGTAGTATTCATATATATATGAATATATATGTGAATATATATGAATATATATGAGTATATGTGAATATATATGAATATATATATGTGTGTGTGTGTGTATATATATATATCAGAGTTTCTTTATCCATTTGCTGATTGATGGACATTTAGGTTGGTTCCACAATTTTACTATTGTGAATTGTGCTGCTATAAATGTGCATGTGCAAGTATCTTTTTCGAATAATGACTTCTTTTCCTCTGGGTAGACACCCAGTAGTGGGATTGTTGGATCAAATGGTAGTTCTACTTTTAGTTCTTTAAGGAATCTCCACACTGTTTTCCATAGTGTCTGTACTAGTTTACATTCCCACCAGCAGTGTAGAAATGTTCCCTGATTGCCGCATCCATGCCAACATCTACTGATTTTTGATGCTTTGATTACGGATGGGAGTAAGGTGGTATCGCACTGTGGTTTTGATTTGCCTTTCCCTGATTATTAGTGATGTTGAGCATTTTCCCATATGTTTGTTGGTCATTTGTTTATCTTCTTTTGAGAATTGTCTATTCATGTCCTTAGCCCACTTTTTGATGGGATTGATTTATTTTTTCTTACTGATTTGTTTGAGTTCGTGGTAGATTCTGGATATTAGGCCTTTGTCAAATGTATAGATTGTGAAGATTTTCTTCCACTCTGTGGGTTGTCTGTTTACTCTGCTGACTGTTCCTTTTGCTGTGCAAAAGTTCTTTAGTTTTTATTAGCTCCCAGCTATTTTTCTTTGTTTTTATTGCAATTGCTTTTGGGTTTTTGGTTGAGTTTCTTGTCTAAGCCAATGTCCAGAAGGCTTTTTCCAATGTTATCTTCTAGAATTTTTAGTTTCAGGTCTTAGGTTTAAGTCCTTAATCCATCTTGAGTTGATTTTTGTATAAGGTGAGAGATGAGGATCCAGTTTCATTCTCCTACATGTGGCTAGCCAATTATCCCAGCACCATTTTTGAAAAGGGTGTCCTTTCCCCACTTTATGTTTTTGTTTGCTTTGTTGAAGATCGGTTGGCCATAAATATTTAGGTTTATGTCTGGATTTTCGATTCTGTTACATTGGTCTTTGTGCCTATTTTTATACCAGTTCCATGCTGTTTTGGTGACTATGGTCTTATAGTGTAGTTTGAAATCAAGTAGTGTGATGCCTCCAGATTTATTCTTTTTGCTTAGCCTCGCTTTGGCTATGTGGCTCTTTTTTAGTTCCATATGAGCTTTAGAATTGTTTTTTCTAATTCTGTGAAGAATGATGGTGGTATTTTGGTGAGGATTGCGTTGAATTTGTATATTGCTTTAGGCAGTATGGTCATTTTCACAGTATTGATTCTGCTCTCCATGAGCATGGGATGTGTTTTCATTTGTTTCTGTCATTGACGATTTCTTTCAGCAGTGTTTTGTAGTTTTGTAGTTTTTTTCTTGAGACAGAGTCTCACTTTGTTGCCCAGGCTAGAGTGCGGTGGCGCGATCTTGGCTCACTGCAACCTCCGCCTCCTGGATTCAAGCGATTCTCCTGCCTCAGCCTCCCAAGTATCTGGGACTACAGTCATGCACCACCATGCCCAGCTAATTTGTGTATTTTTAGTAGAGACGGGATTTTGCCATGTTGGCCAGGCTGGTCTTGAACTTGTGTCCTCAAATGATCCACCTGCCTTGGCCTCCCAAAGTGCTGAGACTGCATGTATGAGCCGCTGTGTGCAGCCAATATTTCTTAATATATGAGGCAAGAAATCTAAAATTCAAAGGCATTTCCACATTGTGACAGGGAAGGTCTAATCAAACAGGATGATGCCTAGTACAGAATGTAGTAGCAGGCTCAGTGCAGGGAGATGTTATAGAAGTAATAAAGGCATGGACTGCAGCATAGCTTTGGGATTCAAATCTTGGTTCTGCCTCCTACTAGGTATGTGACCACAAGGAACATAATTAAACTCTGTAAGTCTCAGTTACTCCATCAGTAAAATGAGTAAAATAGCAGTATTGCTTTACAGGATTTCTAGGAGAGTTAAATAGTCCCTGGTAAAATATTCAGAGTAAATTATTTTAAATAATATAATATTTAAATAAGTATTTAATAATAGGATATGCAATTAAATAATAATGATAATTTAATAATGATAATGTCTTTCTTTTTATTGGGGTCAGAAAGACTATTACAAGATTTAAAAACTGGGAGATGTTCTTCGAGCTGCTAAAATGAGGAGTACTTCCAGCTTTTAATTAACTTTCAGTGCAGTAAAGCAAGTCAGAATAGCTTCTAGGAAAGTATATAGGCATCTGTTCCCCAGGTCACCAAGGTTCGCACCTGTACTTACCAGCTATGTGAAGATGGTGAGAATAGCAAGGGGCTCAATATCTTGTAGGTAATGTTTGATGCAAGTAGAGATGTTTTGCCTGAAGAAGACTCAGAGGAGTAAAGTGAGGCATAAGAATCACTTTCAAATATTTGAAAAAATATTTGGGTGATGCCCATGGACAGAGGGGGAAATAATGTTTAGAAAACCTCAAAGAACAATA